CTTTGTCCGACAAAGGGGCTAATCCTGTCACTATGATCACCCACTCAGATGAATTCTCAGGCTGTTCCAACATACCCATGTTTTGACCCCCACTAAGGATCTCACTGATTGGCATATCAAAGGCAGCCCAATCCGACACCTAGTGCAGTATCATAATCGAGTCTAGGGGTCAGGTGTAACTTTCCAGTTTTGCCCATCAATCTCCAAGGTCCAGGGCAATACTGGAAATCTGGTCCGATTCAAGGATTCAATTAATCCTACACTGCATGTACCTTGGGTTTCACCCTAGCGGCTTAGACAAGCCACCCCAACACTTGGCAGCACACCAGTGTCAGCCTTGGTAGGATAAATCTCCCCAGACTTATCCAACGACTGTGAATGTTCTAAACTAACACGAGTCTCATTAAGTGTCCAGTTTAAGGGTCTTATACAGAAATATATCACACAACATGAATCAAACATGTACTTTATTTATTTATACTAAATGTCAAAAGTACATCAAAACTGATTGGAACTAAGGGCATACAAAACTGTCTAACACCCCTTTGCCCTCTAACCTTTTTTTATCTCTCCCTCTCTCTTTCCTCTATATTTCTTTTTCTCCTTTTTTTATTTCTTCTCCCAACCTGAAACCCCTCCATCCTTAACAAAACTGCTTCACCTCAAATTACTTCAGCAACAGAGGCGGCCATGGCTTCCATTTCATCATTTTCACCACCATTCCTCCCCGGATTCAAACACCAGATTGGTAGATTCCCTTCAAAAATCTCCAAATTTTTAGTTAAAACTGAACCATAAATAAACCCTAAAAACTCCAAAAAAAACTAAGTGTACCTGTACAACAAGGCCTCTATCTCTGAGTTAGGGTTCTTGAACCAATCGCTAAAAATGACCTTTTTTTTTATTGAAGAACATAGAGTTAATCAGAGAAATAGAGTCCATTCTAGATTCGAGCTCACTCAAGAATCATAAATCAAATTCATCTTCATCAAATTCAAGGTAGAGTAAATATCGAGCATCAGTGTTTTGGGGCAGACAAGAATTCATGATCAACTTCGAGTCGGTGACAACCTCAAGTAGCAGCTGCGCTATCAGTTTGTTAGAATCTTTGATGTGGACGATTTAAAAAGCTGCTATCACCGAAGATATGGATGGTCTGAAGAAGCTATTAGATCTGAATGGATGACCTCCATTCTTTTGTCATCGGGCTTCAGCGGTTGGATTTTAAGCAAACTATTGAGATTGGAGTGAACGCAGGTCAAATCTCGTTCCAGATTGGCATGAACTCCGCTGCCGTCAATCTCTTCGATGGCGCTGCTTACGCATCAATGGCTTCTGCTGTTGGATCGAAGAGAGTTTGGAGTCGGGCCATGATTTGCAAGGTTTAAAATCGATGGTGATCTGGTGTTGACGGAGACTGGCGGAGGAAGATAGAGAAAGGTTGGAAGAGGAAGGAGATGAGGGTAGCATTGGGTTTTAAAAATTTTAAATGGTTACGTGATGTCACATATGTAAGGATAGAACTAGACAATTGTCAGGAACACTAACATTAGCATCAGTCAATTTTTAAACAGTTACACTTAGCCAATTAACTAAATTATAAGAATGGTTTAAAAAACTTACCCTTTACTATTAAAAGTTGAAAACAATAGTCGTACAGCTATGATGCAAAATTATAAATAAATGATGTTTGATTAAGACGTGGATATTAGCGTGGTTCCTCCTCTACGTAACTTGGATGGTTAGATGATAAGGGATTGAAGTCGTCTTCAAAGGCAGGTTGATGCTTTTGAGTGTTGATCCTCTCGCATCTACAAACTAAAACCTCCGTCCTTTTCATGCATATAGGCCACAAGGAATACTTTGACCCCTTTGAGTAGCTCTTCTACGCCTCTACCAACTTAAAACAAACCACCCACTACCAATTTGCAAAAGAAAAGTCAAAAAGAGTTGTTCTAGCTAGCTAATTAGGCTGCTTCCGAGGGAGAATGCATCCTGAAGTTTCACCTTCGAAAGACCTCGCTGGGGCATTGGGAATTGCCTATTCACTTATTCAGCCACTTGGTTATTAGAAATACTACTATTCAAGTATTCATCAATCATCATCGTATATATATTCTTACCCTAGGCGTCAGCTAGGGGTGTGAATGGATTAATTTTTGGATTGGATCCTATCCAAACCAAAATCAATTTGGACGGATTGAATGGACTAACAAGACATACTGAATTGGACCAGTCCAGACTTAATGATCCAAAGTATTTATTGGACTGGATTGGACCTGGTCCATCCGAATATTAGGTGAGATTGAGCCAAATATCTGGTTCTGGTCCACTAATAGAAGTTAGGAATATAAGTGTCAATGGCGTGGGTTTGAGTTAGAATTTATCTAAATTAAAACAAATTTAAACATATTGCACACTCCAGACATTAAATTGAACTGGTTCAAAATATTCATATAATTGGATTGAACCTGATCCATTTGTAATGGACCCACATTAGACTGAATCAGATTGGGCCAAATCCAATCCAATTGACACCCCTAGTATCAGGTATGGTCAAGCCCAAGACCCAAGTTTACTTACTCAAAACCAATCCGAGCTTAACCCAATACTATTTGGTCCCTGTCTGGCTCGGGCAGGTTCTGTTGTGTCTGAGCAGTTGGACGAGTTTGAACTTTGAAGAGTTTTAAAATGTGCTCTATATATCTACCCTTAATTTTAATTTGGTCCACATAAATATTATCATAATTAGAAGGTGCCAATTGGTTCAATTGGTAAGGGCCGTGACTTCACCAAGGTTAGGGGAATTATGTGCGTAAACACATACATACCTGATACCCCCACCTTAATAAAATGAGAATTATGGCCCAAGCAGTAGGTTTAATGGGCCATAAATGGGTCAAAAGACGTCTTAGATCGCATTCTGACCATTTATATAGACCCAGAACCAATTCAGAGCCGATAAGATTCAGACTTTTGAACTGCTTGAGCTTACACCTGTTCATGGGCTGGGCTTAAAGCCCAACTTTACACTGTTTTGGGCTCTCGGGCCGACCCCATTCAAATTTTGACAAAAGCAAAACCGGAGCCCAATTCATAAAGAGGTAGAAGCTTCAACTGAGAGCCATGTAAGTGGATGAACAGTAGTCGTTGTGTTCTCTCTGGAGTTTTCATCAAACATTGTTTATAGGCTTTTCAGGTGGACGCCAAAAGCAGTAACTTGAAAGCACTCCTAATGGGCACCAAAGTGAACTTATGTGTTAAATTATTTTGGCAAATAGCTTCTGATCATGCAATAAGAGTCAATCTTTCAGTCATATACGCTATTAGATAAAGCATATGCAATTTGAGCTTGAAAACCTCTTTAAGTACGGAGCCCCGATTTTTGCACTCTTTTTAATTTCCTGCACTAACCAATCACTATGTAGCAGGTGTTCCTTTGTCAAAATGTAAAGAGCAATACATGTGAAAGTAATTGAGTTTTACACTAAGTCCTTGGCGCAGAAAATCCGGTCTCAAAAAGTTTTACCCACCTATGCCATATATAAAAAAATAGAAATATCAATATAAATATATTAATTTGGAATGTGTATAAAAGAAAGCCTCAGGATGTAAGAAATTGAATCTAATAGTAATTTTTGTTTCTTTTCTTTACAAATTACAAGATTTTTTCTCTCTTGTTTGCTTTTTTTTCTTAGAAATTATAAGAATGCCACTCTTCCAATTGAGGAAGACCTCGGCTTAGCATCTTGGTTTCTAGGGGACCTGCAATCAAAAGGTAGTCAAGCTCGAACTTCCGAGCTTTTGACTCAAGCCGAGCTCGAGCTCGACGACACATCGGCCACTAAGGGAGACCTCAGCTCAGCATCTCTTGACAACTAAGGAGACCTCATCTCGGCACCTCATCAACTAAGGGAGATCTCAGCTCAACACCACGCCTGTTAAGCAAACATCAGCTCGACACTTCAGCAGCTAAGAGAGTCCTCAGCTTGGCACCTCGGGAATTGAGGGACACCTTGGCTTAGTGCCTCGGTTGCTAGGGAGACTTGCAATCAAAGGTTTCATGAGCCTGATCAAGTGTGTACATAGGGTGCCATTTCAGCTTGACACCTCGGACATTGAGGGAGACCTCGGGTCAGCACCTCAGCCACTGAGGGAGACCTCAGCTTAGCACCTCGACAATTGAGGGAGACCTTAGCTCGGCACCTTGCCAACTAAAGGAGACCTAAGCTCAACACCTCGCCTTCTAGGGAAACCTCAGCTGAACACTTAAGCAGTTGAGGGAGACTTCAGCTCGACACCTCGGCTGCTAGGGAGACCTCGGCTCGGCACCTCGACTTCTAAGGAGACCTTGGCTGCTACGGAGACCACGGTTCGGCACCTTGACTGCTAGGGAGACCTACAATCAAAGGTAGCCAAGCTCGAACTTTCAAGCTTTTTACTCGAGTCGAGTTCAAGCTCAAGCCTCTAATTCGAATCGAGCTCAAGCTTGATAATTTATGAGTGAGCCCCTGCGTTGTAGGGGCCCCTCCGCTAGTAAGATGTTAAACATCATCCCAGAATAACGATGATTTGAACATTAACTTTAATAGTGTTTCCGGTTAGAACCAAAGGAAATAAATAAATTGTAGTATAAAGGTATTTCTAGCTATCATCAAATACTTAGGAAGAGTTTCTATTGGATGATATTAACCACACATCTTCAATTTATATTATATTAATGCCTTAATTAATTAGTCAGTTTATTAGGTAGGACCCCAACAAGCAGTACATATTAACCTTTTATATAAATTCCTTGAAGGATCTGTAGTTGCATATTATCAAAAAGAAATAATTCTGGTTAGGATTGGCAATTCTAACCCCAACCCACTTGACCCACCCACTTCGAAACCCACCCATTCACCCACTTCGGAATTCACCCATCCATATCCACCCATTCTAATAGTGGGTCAAGATGGGCCCGCTCGACCCATTAGGGTAAGGGTGGAGTTGGCTTGACGATTACCCATTGACCTTCCATTTTTATCTCTGTTCAAAATTTTTTTCTCTTTTGATGTTTTCTTATCCCTTGTTTCAGTTAGGGTTGCAGTTGAAGCAAGCTTCAAAACGACCAAGATTTTTGTTGCCCGTTGTTCTTTCAATCGCCGTTTAGGGCTCTCTCAAGTCGCCGCCACAAGTTGTTGAAACCATTCTCCCTGCCACTGTTTAGGGATCTCTCAAGTCGATGATGTCGTTCTTACCATTGCTCAAAGTTGTTACAGAACTTCTCTCCAAGCTTTAAATCAACAACCCTGGTGTGATCTTGATGCTAGCAATTGAGCAGAGGAGAGGATTATGGTGATTGAACATAGTAGAAGATGGCGTTGAGTGAGACCAGACATCTGATCCGGGAAGCACCGTCATAGCCTTTTTTTTGAGATTTTTATGATGAAATGTCAATTTTTACCCTTCTATTAAATCCTATCCATCTTTCCTCAAACATTGGCAACTCCTTCCTTGTTCCATGTCTATCATCGTCATTAACCCCCTTTATAACATTGGCAGCAATGAGCACCGTCAAGTTGATGGCAGAGAAAGCAAAGGGATGAAACAACAACAATGAAAATCCCTTGATCTATACGGATTTGATGGCGGATAAAGAAAAGGATCAGAGGCCTTGCGAGAGCTGAACGCTGTGAACCACTAGAAGAAGGATGGAATGCTAGGTCGGTTACATTAGAGGCATCATGCGCCCAAACCCCCTACAAGCAGTGGCGCCTGTGTCGCTGGTGGAACCGGCCTCGCCAAAACCAGTCGACAAGCAATCATCGGTGGCATCACGCGCCCAAACCGCCTACAAGAAGTGCCGCATGTGTCGCTAGTGGAACCAACCCAACCAAAACCAGTTGGCAGGCAATCATCAACAAAAGCAAAGACGTGGATTGAGCTGAAGCAAAGAAAGTGTTGCTGCAACTTCCGGCTAAAACCGATTTCATGCCCCTGTTGTATTACTGACCTGCAACTTCCTCTGCACATTTGCATTTGTATTCCTTTCAAATTAAGCATGAGGAGAAATTCAAGAAGATTCAAGTCAGTAATCCGTCCTTCTAAGATATAATTGATAGTTTGAAAGGAGGCATTGAGTTTCTTGAGTTGTGTGCATTTGAGAAGTTTGAAGCCTTGAAGGGAGCGAATTTTTGTTCCTTTCAAGGGACAAAGTTGACATGGTAGTGTTGAACTCTGTTGATTCTAAGCTGAACTATGCTGATTTATCTACTCTAATTGACTCATTTATGGAGACAGACACCAAGTCGACGAAGAGCATGCGCATGAGAATGAGAAGAGCGGTTTTCAGTCACCAAACACATGTTACAAGGCCTGTTGGGGTGCAATTCATCGAACGGAGACATCCAAGTTATGAGAAATGATCCGTAAGGAAGTGGAACTCGTATGCTGAGTTCTTTGAAAAAAGCCGTCTGAAGGGTTTAAACATCAGTTGATGTGTTTGATTGCGGGAGAGAGGCCACGACGCAGGTGATTAACACACGCACAACCTTACTCTGTTTTTAGTTTTCTTTTTCAGTGTTGAACCAACGGTGATGTCGTTGTTGCTATCGGTGGAGTGGCTGTCAAAGAAGACAATGTTGAAGAGGGATGAGGGTAGTATTGAGTTTTAAAAAATTATACGTTAAGTACGTGGTGTCACATGTGTATGAATTTTGATGGAACATTAATGGATGTTAGGACAGAGTTAGTCAATTGTCAGAAAACTTAGGGGTACGCCAAAGCAATAGTTAAACAATAAGGATACAATTTGTTAATTAGCTACTAATTTAAGAAATTTGTCCTTTGATATATCAGTTTTAGTTGAAATGTATAATGAATAAAAGATTATTATTATTTTTTCAATTTTTTGTGATTATTTCTGCAAGTTTTCTTTTATTTTAATTCTAATCTTTGGCTGAAACATATATTTTTTGAAAAAAAATTATCATTTTATGTGTTTTCTATATTTTTTATTTTTATCTGAGGTATATAATTTCTGAAAATTTTGTTATTGTTTTTGTGCCTTTTTCCTATGATTATTGTTTTTAGTTGAAATACATAATATTTTGATTTTTATTGTTTTATTTATTATTCTACAATTTTTAATTTTGTCTAAAAATATATTTTTGAATTTTTTTATTATTATTTTAGTAATTTCTATCAATTTGTGCATTTTCTACAATTTTTGGCATTTATTGTACATTTTTTTGTTTTTTTTTTTTTGCATTTCTTGCAATTTTTATAGTTTTGATGCATTTTTGTATTTTCTTAATTTTTTATGTTTTTCACAATTTCTCTTTTATATTTTTATTTAAATTTTTTATTATTTTCTAAGTTTTTTCTGCACTTTCTAATGTTTTATGGTAAATATATTTTTTTGCCATTTATTGTGTTTAATGTATTTATTTTCATTTTAAAGAAATTGATTTTTTATGTTTTTTGGTTTTTATAGTTTAAATATATAATTTTATGCGTTCGAGCAATTAGAATAAGAGAAAATGTAAAAAAAAAGGTCAATTTTGAATAATTGAATTAGAGGGCCAAATGGGTGGGTTAGGGTGGGTCAAGGTTAGAGTGGGTTGTGACTTGTGACCCGCTTTTACCCACTGACATGGGGTGACAAATGGGTTAGTAGGTCAATATAGGTGGCTTGATGCTCAACCCACACCCAATCCACCCATTTGCCACCCCAAATTCTGGCTAGTTACTAACTACCAAAAAGTCAGTTTTTACCTTAAAGACATGTTCATGTGGAAACTCAATAGGGCTAAAACCCACCAAAACTAGTTTAATTTCCGATAAATCTTTACTTCTGGCATTACTGTGGCTCCTACCAACACAACCAAAAAGGAAATAATTAAGAAGATCATGAAGTTGCAATCCCATATATTCATGTGTATACTACATATGGTGAAAGGCTAGAATATTATTTTATATATGACTAACACATGAAAATATTAATGAAATACCCAGAAACAATATTAATCGAAATACCCAGAAACAATATTAATGAAAACCACAAGGACTAGATATAATTAAGGCAAGAAGAGAACAAAAGGAACCATTGAGGAGTTTCCATTATAATCTCTTTGTTTATTAGTAAAGGCTTGACAGCCCAACTCTGAGATGGCCTAGGAGACATTTACAAAAGAAGAAAATTTAGGTGGAACCGGTATCTCTATAGTCTCTTCCATCATCAGAAGGACATTCTTCATGGTAGGCCGTAGGAAGGGCTCTTCTTGGATGCACCAAAGTCAGACCCAGATCAAACTCTCCAATCTTCTCTTGTCCACCTATTCATCCTTCACCAATTTATCAACCTCACCAGCATCAAAACAAGCGTAGACCAAATTTTGCAGAAAATTTTCTTCCTCATGAGCATTCATGTCCACATGGGGCCGGGCAACAGCTAGCATACTATCTTTGTTGGAAAATAGTAAAGAAAGCAGAATAAAATTTATCGGTAATCACTTTCTAAATCAAGAACTTGCAAAACTGTGAAACTGAGAACTTGTAGAGAGGAGGCTTGAGTCATGCCACTTAGTCACTCTCCTTAAAATCGCATTTGCCCCTACGGTGCACCCGGGTGATTGCAAATCAGTCGGCAACAGCCCACAGACCACTGGTAGGCGTGCACTCGCTTACTAGACCTCTGCAAACCACAAAGAATGATGCTCATAAACTCGACACTCGAYAGAGAGAGAGAGAGAGATGTGTTGTGTGCAACAGTCTGTGTTTTGGGGTTGACCAGCACTCCTTTTATAGAGTGTTCTCAGTCACCCAAATGGACACAAAAGTGTCCTTTCAGAGAGAAGTCTCTTCCGAACTATGCACCTATTCGAAGAGACACAAAGAAGAAGAAACACAAAATAAGAAAAGAAAACATTTAAAAATTAATTTGAAATTCAAAAGTCAAACTGGTCAAAACCAAGATGATTTGGTGTAGCATGCATATACACGATAAAACAATCGCTCAGTAGACCTCTGCGAACCACAAAGAATGATGCTCAGAAACTCGACACTCAACAAAGAGAGAGATGTGTTGTGTGCAATGGTCTATGTTTTTGGGTCGACCAACACTCCTTTTATAGAGTGTAGCACCCATGCTCATCAGATAACTCAGCTCCTTTACAACACCTGACTGCGTGATAGACATCACTAATCACAGATCCATCACCAATAACCAATCATATATTAATATTCAGGTAAATCAGATCATCCCTTGCAATTTGAGGTGTTAAATTTGTCCCTTCTATTTGTAACATCAAAAATTCATTAAAAGGAAGAAACATCAAAATAATGTAGTTTTGTTTCTTTTTCTTTTTATATTTTAGAGGGCACTCTGACATTTAGGTTGTGGGCTGCTCAATATGGTGCAGATATTACTTTCAGGGAGGAAATTGTTGATCACAAATTTGTGAAGTGGGAGCTCTAGACTCGTCAAAAAGGGGGAAGAAAGTTTTATCCCTACTTATTTTGATACTCTGCATGTTTTGCCCTAGTACAGGATTGCATTTCATAGATCATCTTGACTTTAGGTTCTGATGCATGTACTTAGGACAATTTTCTATTCTTTTTCCCAAAGAAAGAGTCAAATCTTATGCTTTAGCTATTTCTCATGTAATTACATTTTTTGGTATTATATGGGCCATTAAAGGATTGGGTTGACACTTGACTTCCAGATAATTGGGAGGTGAATGAAACGTACAAAATCTATCTAGAGTGCAGATGATGAATCATATTTTCACTTGTCTTGGGCAACTACAATATGATTTTCCTAGTTTTTCAGCTTCAAATACCTCCAATCCAATTTTCCTGGTTTGCATTTTTTGTGACCCATATAACTGAATCCAGATTTACTCCTCACAGCACTTGGAGTGGCACATCAGAAACATCTCTGTACTTGTAAGTTGTCATTTACGGGGAGATGTTCCCAATGCACGGTTGCAACGTGCTGTGAGGTTGGTGTGAGGCGCACTCTGTGAGGAGCAAATCCAATTTCCATATAACCTATGTCAAATACACACTAGTATTTTAGATTTTTATGCAACATTAAATGCAATTTTAAGTGAGATGTATTTTAGATGTAAAGTTCACACAAGTTCTAGAACAATGAGAACAGCAAAAATAGAAGGGAAATTTTACCATATTGGTGAGAATACCAAAAATGGCAAAGGGGTCGTTTTGGCTTTTGAGCCCAAGATAGCCGGGCAGTTGTTTTATCAATTAAGAAAACATTGGGGCCCCATTCGCTTTTCGGGGAGTTACTTAGCAGGGTGGCACAATACGGAAACAAACCATGTTTAGAGAAGCTTCAAAGGAAAAAAGCAAAAGCCAAAATAAACAGGATGAACAACTCTTAACTAAATACTTGAGAGAAAATCAACATAAACTCCCCTAGCTTTGCCCTAGCTACTCTTTATAAAGACTTACACCCTTATAGCTCCTACAAGAAAGTTTCATAATCTATGGAAACACTCCATAATAGAATCCTACTAAAATTCCTCAAAAATAAAGTCTTAATTGAACAAAAATTCAGGGATCACGATCTAACGCTGACTTGGTAATTACGAACTAAGATATAAGTTCCGTACTGACACTAACTTGGTAAATTCGAACTAAGATAGAAATTCCATCCTAGCGCTAACTTGGTAATTGTTTACTCGGTTGGATCAATAACATCATCCTAGCTTCTTATGTGTCTTGGAGTGGTCCCAACATGCATAGAACTTATTATCTTTCTTCCGTATTGCATCATCCTCCTCCTATGCATACTAAGATGGGTCTTCTAAAACCAACTTTGTAAATGTTTACTCAGTTTGTCTGAATCCCGTACTGCATCACAGGGTAAGTGTTTCCTGGGAAATACTTACCCAAGTACGTGTACTTACCCATGTTCTTTTAGTTTCCAAGTAAATAAGACAATGACCGTTTTAGCCAGAAAAAACCATTATTAAATGGGGCAATTTTATCCCATTCAAGTGTTGGCAACTTTCCCCCTAGGTGGGAAATTTACTTACCCACCTGGAAGATGGTAAGTGATACCCAGGGAAAATAAATTTTCCACGGACCCCACAWAAATCTGTAAAAAGAACATGGGTATTTTGGTCAATGGGAACCAAAATCCCATTGACCAACTTTCCCCCTCTCAAAATCCAAAAAACGAACAGGCCCTTGGAAGTTTATGTGTATCAATTTTATGAATTTGAAGGATGAAGGAACATTTTGACATGGGTTTCTTGTGTAAATGAAAACTGCCTGGTTAGAATTTCCAACACTATTGTCTGGTATCTTCCCTTGTTACTCATACGGAGTTGGTATTGATTTGAATACTTCACTCCATTGGTCCAAAGATTTGAACACTCTCTAAAGGGGATTTCTTTAATCGGTTATGTAGTTTTAAAGAAGTTGCTTAAATTTTCTATAAATCTGTGTTTTCTTCTGTTTATATTTTATTCGGATATGATGTGTCTAGAAATCCATGAAATCTTTCCAAGACAGTTCTCATCCACTCTACTTTAGAGAGAGTACCTACTTATCCCATGCAGACTCACCTCTTGCCTAAGACAGTTTCTCAACAGTTGGATCATTTATCATAAGAGATGATAAGGGTTGACGATGGCCATTATAAGGGTCAGTGCCAGTTTGCTAGAGTGGTTCCCCTTGACCCCTTCCCAGCAGCTTTGGCGGAAGTTTGGGCTCCCTTTGAAGGGTTGAAGATGGCCATAAATCAAAACTTCTCAGCAGTCTTTGAAAATGATGCTAAGTCTATCATTGGTGGACAACAGTGAGCCACCATGGTGGATTCGACACATGATTGCCATCTGTAGCAGTCTTATTCATCAGCTCAATGGTTGTGTTATCCATTACAGTCCAAGAAGGTGTAATAATGAAGTTCATAAACCGGCCAAGTTTGCTCTTTCCTGTACTCAGTACAATTTCTTGGTCCTCCCCTCCTTCCTTTATTTCAAATCTATTGGGGAGTGAAATGTAGCTTTCCTTGTTGAATGGATTTAGCCTCAGGGCTTCAAAAAAAAAAGCAATTAACCAAAGATATATTTTATGAAAAATATCATACTTAAAACAGAGATTGTGGACTGGATACACAGTAATTATCTTTTGTTAGGGTACTCTTTATAACAAGAATGAATTTATTGAAAAGAGAAAGTAAAAAGAAAAAAAGAAAATTACTACTACAGTTAAGACCCAAACCAAGACAAATATGAACATCAACCTGCCCTGCCCTGTAAGTGGTCATTCTGTAACCAAAGCCTGAAAATGAAGAGTTGCTTCATTTTCAGGACCTAAGGCCACACTCAAGTGACTCAACAACCAAATGAATAACAAGCCTCATAGAAAATTTGCAATTATACTAGAAGGTGATGATGGGGGAATGAAACACATCTTTCCTCTCCCACCATTTTTGTTGTTGAATATTGATCCCATCTGGAGCATTTGTCCTTCTCCAAAATAAGGTTGAGGGTCTCTTTGGGTTAATGGCCAGCCTTCCTCACTTCTTCAAGCAGCCATTTCTCCTCCATTCCACCTCACCATCACTTCTCTTGCTCATCCTCTCACTTAACTAAGACCCTACTCTCCCTCTCTCTTCCCTCCTTTCTCCATCCTAATCATATCATCATTTCTCTTGCTCATCCTCTCATCATGCTTAAGACCTTTAACTGTGCCCTCCGCCCCTCCCTTCTTGCTGCACACCAATTTCCTACCTTCATAAAGCACAACCACAGTCATTTCCTGGTTGATAATAGAAAACTCATTCATTGTTTTCTTACTCACCACCTTGAGCCCATCTTGGGCTTCCAGGTCATCAAAACGAATGTGGAAATATTTCTGCTCTGATTTGTGGAAATAAACAGGCCTCACATTTGACATAGAAACAAGAAGSCTCCAAAATCTAGAACTATAAGCATTGTTATACACACATATATGTAAATAGGCTTCTACATGCATATGCACTTATGCACTGTATTATTTTTTGCCGAATTTAAATAATGTTGCAATTAAACTGCATGTGGCATGGCTTTATCAACATTTTATTTTAGAAGTAAATGAAGGCAGACTAGTCTACATGAGTCCAATGTGTATCCGACATATCTTGACAGAACAACAGGGATGCCTTGTCAAGCAGTGTCCAACATGCCAGAAATCTTTAGAGGTGTCTCACATATCAAATGTAATATCTATCTGATGAAGGGAAATTTGGCCCGACCTCGCGATCGCCCGACACGTGGCAAAGGCAAGCAGCTCAGGACAGCGGAGCACCCAAGGCGAACATCGGAAGCAAGTCCAAACTCACTACCGAGCCTAAACTCCAGACCGCTGTACTTAGTCCGAGCTCCCTGATTAAGAGCGAGCTCCCTGTCAAAGGTCCGAGCTCCCTAAA